CTATTGTGTAATATATTTGTGACAATTTATTATTATTACTGTTATATATAATTATTAGTGTTAAATATTTTTGTTATTATAAAACTTACTTTTAGTAATATTTAAAAATATTGTTATAATTAGATTAATGACATGTGTATCAGTGACAATCAAATTATTGTTACAAGATATTAATAGTGATAAATTTAATTTTTAGTGACAAATATTTACATCACTATATTTAATTTTTTTTAGTGAATTTTTTAAAAGTTATATATATAAAGTTGAATTATATTTATATTTTAAAAAATAATTTCTTTAAAAAAAGTTAATATAAAGATTTTAGTTTTCACAAATTTTAATCTTGAAAATAATATTTTTTTTAAAACATCCATTATCCTCTCCATCCAATTCCAAATTAACATCTCTTATGTTGTAAAGAAAAATCTTGGAAATTAAGCGTGTGAAACCCTCTTGAAGCACACTCTCCACCTTTAATATTATCAAAATTTTAAAACTTCAAACATTAATTTGACTATCCCCTCAAAACTGTACTAGAGTAGAGATAATGCCTTGAATTCCTTTAATATTATGTTTTTTTTTTATAATTTTCACTTAACTTCAAAGGTAGCTTGATATGACATTCAATATCTAAATCGAGCTTCATATTTTGTATATCACTGTTCAGTGTTTATCATAACGAGACAAAAAGGCAAATCAAGAAAATTATACCATTTCAATCCTAACGGGATACTTCATCCCAAAACTCTATCCAATAAGAAATTTTTTATAATAAAAAATAAAACATCAAGTTTAGAAGAAATCAACACACAACAAAAAATATATAATAATTAAAAGATTTCAAAAGAGTATATGTAGGTTTTCACACCTAATTCTATTTTGATTAATTTGTTGTCGTTAAATCATTCTACGTGGTTCTATTTCATCTTTCTTCACGAATCCCGGAAGCAGTTTAGAAGAATATTATGTGATATATATGTAATTGATTATGTGTGTAATTCTAAATGATTATAATATGTCATTTTATTAGAAAATTTAATGGTTGGTGAAAAAAATTGATATATAAATTAGAAAGAGAAGAAATTTGATGACCATAAAAAAATCGAGATATCAATGAAAGTGGATAAAAGAAAATCGATGAACATTGAACGATCTCCCAACTTTTATGTCTTGTAAACAAATTAATTGTTTTTCTCTTGAGAGATTCGAGACTTAAGAATAGGCCACATGAATGGGACAATCTCGCGACCTTCATGTCTTGTAAATTGTTCTAAACTTAACATTTTCTGCATAAATGGCCACCACGGTGGGTCCCTATGTATACATGCACTGTTTTTTGTTATCTCTCTAGTCTCTTTTACGACCATGCATGCACCAACCATTTCCAAATGTTTTATTCACTTCTCTCGACAAAATAGTTCGCCTAATTACATAGTCCTTGTCATTTACCGTGAATCACTGATATTGAAATTTGAAACTAGGGTTCAATTCCACAGAAGCTTCAACGTTAATTCTACATCAAAATCTTCTTCGATCGTGTTGATATTAATCAAAGCTTCAACTTTCGCATTCACCACCAAGTCATTGTTTTTGTATACAAATAGAAAGTAAAAAGAGTGGAACATTTCTAACATAAAATGGAGGTTGAATAACCAAAATAATGAAGTGTTGCTTCCTCCAAAACGGTCATCTATCATCGTTTATAATAAAATGACAGATCCTATTGAAAATTTAGACGTGCATTGAAAATTTTTGCATCAAGTTATTTAATAAAAATAATGTCGTAGAAATTCTAGATCTAAAATATAATACTCAATTAAAAGGATTTAAAATTAGATTATAATGATATATATATTTCCCTTGAATCATTATTATTCAAAGTTTCAAGAAAAATTTACAACAATATTTAAAGACGCATGTGGAAAATGATAAAGTATTTTTTACTGTACAAAAGGTAAAAGTCTAAGAAAAATGAAAGAAACAAAAAATTTATGTGAGATAATAAGCAAGAGAAATATTTTTACAGAAAATCTACTAATTGATTAATGTCAGTTTAGGTAATTGATCAAGAACTATAAGTTACCTGTCTTAATGGGTTTAAGCACTATATTTTCATGAGCAATATATAAATATCACCAATATCTATATAATAGATAAGATTGAAATCTATTTTTATTTTTAATTATTATTATTATTATATATCTATTTATTAATTTCTTATTAATCCGTTAAAAAAAACGTAATATATAAACTTAGAATTATATTCTTTATAAAATAAATAAATTAAAAATCTAATTTAATTCTTTAATTTAATAATTTAATAAAAAATATAAATATATTTTTCATTAAGGTTATTATTTCCTTTTAATAATATCTTTCACTAGAAGTAAAAAAAATAGTCTTTAAAAGAATCTTTTATATATATATATATATATATATATATATATATATATAACTGATTTAATAGTTATATACTTGTAATGGTATTTTTTTCTTTCCAATAAGAAATAACTTTGTAATGTCTTGATTAATAAATTAATAAAAATATTATTACTTTATATATGATTGTTTACCTAAAATTAATAAATAAGATATTTACTTAAATATTTATATATTTTAAAATTATTATGTTTTGAATTTATTATTATGTGAACATTGAATTTATATTTATGAATAATTATTGATTGATTTTGGTCTATTTTGACATTATACAGATTTGTCGTAAGGTTTTAACTGACACAATGATCATGTGTGGTATGACACAACAACTTTATGAGATTGTACAACATGATAATCTTATGAGGTTGGACAACACGATAATCATGTGAGGTCTTATGGTATAATGATCATGTGAAGTCTTACGATACGATGATAATGTGTGATCTTACTATATAATGATCATGTGAGGTACAATGATCATGTAAGATCTTATGACACGATCTTGTAAAGTCTTACTACATGATGATTATGTGAGGTTGGACAACATGATGATCATGTGAAGTTGGACGACATGATGATCCTGTGAAGTTGGATAACAAGATGATCATGTGAGATTGGACGACAAGATGACCATATGTTACGACATGATGACACGTGTAAGGTTGGATGATACAATAACCCTGTGAGATCTTACAATAAATTATCCTATAAGATCTTATAACATGATGACCCTATAAAAAGTTCGACAATATGATAACCTTCTAAGGTTATAGGATACAATGACTTTATGAGATCCTAATATACAAACACAATCTAAGATTATTCTCACCAATAACATGTGGCACATGTTTTTCTTGCTAAAGGAACGCGATGATTAAGTCACTTCATAAAGAGGTGTGTGACATAGTTGACCTATAGGGAGTTGAATTCATGGTTTCATCCTATAGCCAAATGACATGACAATCAAAGTCTTAAGATTTTTTTACAGTGAATATAAATGAGAAAATTAAGTATCTTATAAATGAGAAAATTAAGTATCTTATAAATGAGAAAATTCATAACATAATATCGTAAGATTTTAAGTTGAACGTGATATTATATTTTTCTTATACAACTAACTTATGTCTCATTCATGAGAATATCTAATGTTAGTTTCATCTCAAAAATATTCAAAAATAGGATTAGGGTAGATTTACAATTTTATAATTTAGATGTATATTTACAATTTTTATTCTTCCAAATTTAATAATCATACATATATGTATTTTTATATTTATAATTTTATCTTTTTACATTTTCATTTTTTTTTACGTTTTCGTATTTATTTATTATTTATTAATAATATATTATTTAATCTATTTTTTGTTGTTATTAAAATCAATTATTCATATAATAACTGACTTTAATGGAGTATAATTAAGAATATATCACTCATCTTAAATTACATATACTTGTGTAATTTTGAAACCTTTCATTAAAAAAATTTGTAAACAACTTAAAACAAATTAATATTAAGAAAAATATCCAATAAAAACTGAAGAAGTGACGTGAAACTTTAGTATTTATTAAGTTATTATTGATAATCCATAACTCTTCCAAAATCATGTTATACAATCTTTCATGTCTTACATCAGAATATCGCTTCCTAAATTATTTTTTATTATTTTTTTCCTATTTCGTACCACACATTCAAACAATAAACTTTCTCAAAAAGGAAGAATTATGAATACTTTTTAGTGGTCGCCCATTTCATCTTCATTTTATTTTATTTTTCACCAATAAATATTAATTATTAATATGTTTTTTTAACAGCTATCCCATCTTCCCCTTTTTTGTCATTTTCATGTATTTAACTAAATGCAATCTTTTGTATTTCCAAATTGTAATTATAAATAAGACTAATACATTTATTTATGAGAATAATATATCTATTGATAGAATAAAACTATTTTGATAAATAATATATATATATATATATATATATATATATATATATATTGGTTTATAAAAATTCATCTATCATCTCTTACTATCGAGAATGAAAAAAAAAATCCCATAATGGAAAATAATTATAAAGTCATCAACTGAAAATCACATATATTATTCCTTTTAGAAAGTGTGGGAACCAGTGTCGTGTTGATAGGGTTTCAAGTCAATTTGAAATTCGAAAAAATGAAAAATATGGAGGACCACCTTATCTCTACCTGTAAGCTACCCCTGCGTGCGTCCAAGTTCATACCACTCATTCCTTCTTTTCCTGCTCACGGTTCTTATTGAACGTCAACTTTGTGAAAACAAGAAAAAAAAAAAAGAATTAAACATTATGCTCCATTTCGTAAAAGAATAAAAAAAAATAGAAAAAATAAATCAACTTTCCGTGTTGTCTCTCTCCTACAGGAAACGGGTTTGTGAGACCAATCCATGAATATATAAATATCACCACCATCAACAAAAAGGAAACAACCCATTCACGCAACCTCAGAAGTTACAAAGATCAATTCAAGTTAACACACACAAAAACTGTGGTGCTAACTTTAACTACAGTTTTTACTCCATTCACTATGGGCATTACACACTTTCTTGCAATACCTTTCCCAATCCTAGGGCACATCAATCCCCTTTTGCAGTTCTCCCAGGTTTTGGTCACATATGGCTGCAAAATCACCTTCTTGAGTTCAGATGAGAACTACCACAAATTGAAGAGTGCATGTGCTGATGCTGGCCATGCCAAGGTGATTGACTCAAACATAAGGTTGGTGTCTCTCCCTGATGGTGTGGACCCTGAAGATGACAGAAAAGACCAGGCCAGAGTTATTTCCACCACCATTAACACCATGCGTGTTAAGCTTCCCAAGCTCATACAAGATGTAAACGCTTTGGACAGTGAGAACAAAATTTCTTGCATTCTTGTCACCAAAAATATGGGATGGGCCTTGGAAGTTGGCCGCCAGTTGGGAATCAAAGGGGCTCTATTCTGGCCAGCCTCAGCCACTTCTTTAGCATCCTTTAACTCCATTCAGAGGCTTATTGACGAAGGAACCATAGACTCCAAAACTGGTAAGAATAGAAACAAACACTTCTTCAATCACTTTGCTTATGGAAATGCAAAACATTTAAAATTAAAAACCATAAGCGATTCTCATTATTTTCAGACCATATATACCGCAGTTCATCACAAATCATTGGTACTTTCGTATATGCTTCTTGTCTGATGCTGCTATATTGTGTTATGTCGTCAACTGGTCTAATATTGGAGATTTCTCATCATCATCCCAAGCTTTAAATCGCTTAACTTTTACAATTAATTTTAGGTTAGATTAAACATTAAGTCGTACATTATTTTGTAATTATTGTTCTATGAAAATATTGTTTAGAAGTCAGTTCTTTCTTACTATTCTTCAAAGTTATAATAACGATAGATTCTGCTGAGTTGTCCACCATTTAATATATTTGAGATAGCATGATATCAGCAAAATCTAGTACCGTTTTCAAACTTCAGCAAAGGAAAGAGATGATTGCAGTTCTCTCGTATGTTTTGTAATTAATATGGGTTCCCCATTTTATATTGTGTGAATTATAATTTCATAGGTATAAATTATATTTCGTAAGTAATAAATATGTGATTTTAACAATTTAAAATTTAATCATATTAATCACATTCTCAAATATATATCACAATTATATTATTTTAAGCCCTAGTGTATATATTTTTTTTTTCATTTATATCAATGAAATATGTTGGTTTATTGAATGAAAATTAAAATTGTAGAGCTACTTTTTTATTACATTATATTATTTTAAACATTCCATCACTAATTGATTAAAATTAAATTTCACATACCAAAGAGCACATTTGAGATACTTACAATTTTGTTATTTTAATCCCTAGTGTATATATATTATTTCATATATATAAATAAAAATGATCTTGGTCAATGTAATATATGAAATATGCCATTGATTAAATTGAAACTAAACATATCAAAATTGAACATTTGAGAATATAATTAACACATTTAAAACTTGAGATGTGATGTTAAAGTTGTAATATCTGAAAGTGTAATTAAACTATGTAACTTCAATATACAGTTTTTTCTTAGAGATTAAATAAGAACACAGGAGGTATAGTGATGGAATGTTTAATATAACTATAAATTATTGTATTCCACCTCAATTTTAATCATAATTTAAAATTAAAGTTCGGCAAGATAATATATTTTAAGCCTATGGTGGATGATGACTGCATCACTTTGGTTGCTTTTCACCGCAGGAATCTTGGTCTCGTTATGCATTATTTCTTACTTAAAGTTTCTTTTGGCATTTCAGGACTCCCTACCAAAAAGCAGGAAATACAGCTTTCCTCAAATTTGCCTTTGATGGAGGCAGCAGCCATGCCATGGTACTGCTTGTTTAATTCCTTCTTCTTTCTTCACATGAAGGAAGAGATGCAAAATTTGAATTTAGCAGAAAGGTGGCTTTGTAACACTACTTTTGATCTTGAAACTGGAGCTTTTTCTACATCACCAAAGCTCCTACCAGTTGGCCCTTTAATGGCAAATGATCACAGTGTATTATGTTCATTGTGGGAAGAAGACAGAACCTGCCTACAATGGTTGGATCTGCAGCCACCTCAATCTGTCATATATGTTTCATTTGGCAGTATGGTGTCCCTGAAACCAAACCAATTCAATGAATTAGCTCTTGGACTTGACCTCCTTAAGAGGCCTTTTCTTTGGGTTGTTCGTGAAGACAATGGTTTCGGCTTGAACAATGCATATGAATTCCAGGGAAGTCTAGGTAAAGTTGTTGGTTGGGCACCACAAAAGAAGGTTTTGAGTCACCCTGCCATAGCATGTTTCATTAGTCACTGTGGTTGGAATTCAACCATAGAAGGTATCTGTAACGGGGTGCCCTTCTTGTGTTGGCCATTCTGCAGTGATCAACTTATGAACAAGACATATATTTGTGATGTGTGGAAGGTTGGACTTGGATTTGACAGGGATGAAAAAGGATTGATATTAAAGGAAGAGATAAAAAAGAAGGTGGAACAACTACTTGGGGACGAGGAAATAATAGAAAGATCTTCCAAATTGATGGAAATAATCATCAAGAACAAAGCACAAGGTGACCAGAACCTTAACATGTTTATCAGTTGGGCCAAGGACTAAGAGTGCTCTTAATGTTTATAGCTTTTGTATTTAACAAGTAAATTTAAATAAAATAAAAAGGAAGAATATAGGGTGAAAATTAAGGTGGTGTTTTGTTAACTGTGCTAGGTATTATACTACAAAATTTATCAATGTGTTGGTACTTGTTTTAACTTTTCATGAAATCTTTAATCTCTATGGAGAACATGGAGTTTTATAATATAATTGATCATGTTGTACTATTGTGCCGACAAGACTCAACTTGTGACTTCAGCTAGCTGTACTCGAGATGGCCAACTTGTGTTATATTGAAAAATAATCCACCTTGTGCGAAGAGAAAGATTAAACGAGAACAAAAAAAACAATATATAAAGGATGAAGGAATAGTTTAAAACTTTATTTTAAAATTAAAAACATAAATATACGTAAGTTAAAGATTGATGGAACCATAGTAATAATCTAGAGTCTCCAAGTATTGAGGAAAATGATATCTCTATTTCAGTTCAGTGAACATATATGAGATTTGATTTCATTTAATTCAACTTAAATTAAAAAAAAAACTGAACGGGTACTTTTCTAATTATGAACATGTATAATTGTAGAGTGTTTTGGTTGTACGGGGGATCACGGGGCTTACAGAGTTTCTCATAAGAAAAAACAACATTATTGATGAGTAGGTGCATTTTTTTTTTCATATAAAAATGTGAGGAGGTTGTTATATTTTATGATTAATGTGCTGGGTTTGTGTATTTTATTAACAGAAATAGGTAGTGCAAATGTAAACTCAGACAAAAAGGGATAGAAATTAACCAAATTTGACATAGTCTATACTAAAGCCACAAAACTTACACTCAAAGCTTCTGTTTAGTTAGAGTAAAAGAAATCGTAGCAGAAGAAGAGGAGGAGAAAATAGTAAAATGAATTTATTTTGGTTGAAGTGAAATAAACTCAGACAAAAAGGCTAAAAAAAAAAAAACCTATAGTGATATAAATATTTATCACTAAAAACTATGAATTCATCACTATTAATATCTTGTAATAATAATTTGATTGTCACTTATACCCATGTCACTAATGTAATTGTAACAATATTTTTAAATATCACTAAAATTAAGCTTTATAGTAATAAAAATATTTAACACTAATAATTATATATAATAGTAATAATAATAATAAATTGTCACAAATATAATACACAATAGTGATAAATAAAATTATCACTATTAAAAATTTATAAAAAAATAATTATTTCAATATCACAAATATTTTAAAAATACAATAATAAATTAATTATTATTTATAATTTATAGAAATAATTATTATTAATTTAATGTCACAAATAAATAATAGTAATTATTTATCATTATTATAATTTCTAAAATTATTATTATTATTATTTTAATTTCAGAAATATATATATATATATATATATGAATAAAGATAATAATAAATTAATTATTATTTTTTATACTAACAATAATAAGAATAATTTTAATATTAATCTTTGCTGTTATTATTAATTTTTAAAGTTATTATTAATTTTTAAAATTATTATTTAATCATTAAATTATTAAATATAAATGATATACAAGTCTTCTAAGTTTGCTTAGTTATAATGAATAAATAAATTATTTTGAAATATTAAAATAAACAAACATGTAAACATAAATTATCCATTACATTATAAATGATAAAAACTAAAACACAATAAATATTTAACAAGATTCTAAATTGAAAGATGATAAACAACTCGTATATATTTTTAGTCCAAACTGTTACAATTAAATAACTATTCCTAAAATAATAAAAAAATAATAACAACTTGAACTATCTTCAACGAATTATTTGATCCTGCAAAATGAAATAAAAAATAATTAGTATTAATAAAAAATAATTAACAATATTTTAGATATATAAATATGTAAACTAAAAATAATTGGAGATATTTTAGTGAAAAAATTAAAATAGTCAAACAACTTACTTCATTTGAGGGAACAAGTTGAATCATTAGATATTCTTGTGAATGATAAACCACCTAATAAAATAGACATTTGACTTTCATCTCTTTTTTAATATTTTGCAAAATAAATTATTAAAAACAAATTAGTACAACTTTAATAAATAATTTCCAAAATTTTAGAAAAGATGTTATACAATTACCTGTAGTTTCTTCAAGATTAGGATGATTGAACTCTAAGGCCACCCTTTTAGAATTTAATTTGATTGGCCTTATTATCTATAAATTAAATGATTGAAATAATAATAAGATATTACAAAAATATTAATCAAATACATAAGAAAAAGAGAAATAATACTTACATTTGCTTCATCATCCCTTTCATCTTCTTCCGAAGCTTGGACCTTTTTCGTAATTTTTGGTTTATATTCTACATCATCGTCTTCAAGTTTTTCTTTATCTTTCTTTTTCGTCCGACTTTCAAAGGATAAACATTATGTGTCAATCCCAAAGTCTCTAACTTTGCTTTGTTTTCTTTGATATTTTGTAATCTTTGTTTTTCGTATTTGGACATGGTTCACTCTACATAAACAAAATTATAAAAAATACAGAGTAATACTAACTTTAAATAAACAATAATAACCTAAGATAAAAAAACAAATATTACTTGTTGTTGTGAAACGTTACCAAGGGTTGGGGTTGTGAGAAGGGTTGTGGAACCCGTTCCTGTCAAAAGTTAGGGGTTGGGACTCGTGAGAAGGGCACTACAAGAAAAAACACATTTAGCCACCGAAATTAGCGACCGCTTTAGCGATCGATTTAATTTTGGTCGCAATTAGTGACCGATTTAGCGACCAAAATATGATTTATTTTGCACTTTTTTATATAGCGACAGAAATAGCGACCAATATTTTGCGTCGCAAAATTTCGATCGCTAAATCAGTGGCTATTTCAAACTAAAATAAAAAAATCATTTAGCGACCGATTTAGCGACCGAATTACAAATTGAAATAGTGACCGAATTAAAATCGGTCGCTAATGAATATTATTTTTTTATTATATTTAAATTTATTTTTTTATAAATATACTTTAATTGTTTTAGTATATTTTTTACAATTTATTTTTTAAAAGTAATTTATTTTTTAAAAATAATTTAATTTTTAAAATATACTTTAAAAATAAACTTTGGTCTCAATATTAACAAAATGAATTGTAATAAATCAAATTTATTAAAAATTTAAATTGTAATAAATTAAGACTAGAGTGATGTTAACTATTCAATACATTGTTTAAGAAAAGTTTAATAACAAATATTCTTGAATTTATTTTTCAATTGAAAATTTCAATTGAAATTAAATTATATTTTAAAAATTTATATTAAAAATTGAAGAAAATAGAGATTTAATTATACTTTTAATAAATTTAACATAATAATAGTTTTGATTTGTATTTTTAAATATTTATTTTAAATTTTTAAAACAGAGAAACTATAATTTTAGTTTCTAAATACTAAATTTAAAGAATTAAATTTATTATTATTTAATATTTTAATTGTAGTATTAAAAATTTAAATTATATTTTATTAAATTAAAATAATTACAATATATTTTTCTACTTTGAGAATGAAAAATATAATTAAACTAAAACTGAAAATATTATAATACATTTTTGAACTCTTTTTGATTAATTTTTTTTTCCTAATTTTTTATAAAGTCAATTTTAATATTTAAAAGTATTTAACATTTTGCTTTCTGAAATGTTTTCTGTATTACCAAATTTCAGCTCTTAATAACCTCTACAACCAAATTCCAAATGTAGAGAAATCGAGTGCCCAAATTCTAGGCACCAAACAATACAAAAAGAATGTAAAGAAATGAAAAAGAAGAAACTAGAATGCTCAAACCAGTTTATGCAATTCTGCTGTAAGTGTTTCTTCTTCAAAAGAAATCAAGTTGCCTCAAGAAAGATTTTCAAAGAACTTCTCAAAAACTGATGTGAATCTTTCTTGAAAAGAGTGTTGAAGTTTGCTTGATTGATTGCTCAAGGATGTGTAAAAGATGATATTCAATGTATGTTAAAAAAGTTCAAGCCAAACTATTTTTATAGAAGATTTTCAAAACTGCTAGTTTAATTAATTTGTTAAAAGATTCTTTTAATCTGTTAAAAGTGCAGTTTTAATCTGTTAAAACTTCTTTTAATCCATTAATACGTTCTTGATTCTTTAACAGATTTGTTTTAACTGATACGACAACGTTTATATCAATTAAAACACTTTACAAAAAATCTTCTAAGTTGATTTAATCGATTGTTTCGCGATTCAATCGATTGAAATACTGCAAAACTTTCTTGTAAAACTTTTCAAGTTATTTTAACTGATAAAAATAAGTTTTAATCGATTAAAATGCTGTGTAGAAATTTTTAAGTTGTTTTAATCGATTGAAATGAGATTTAATCGATTAAAAGAGTTCTGATCGGTCATAACTAAATTTTGATCGATCATAACTGATTCTGATTGGTCATAATTGCATTCTGATCGATCATCCTGAACCCTTAAGTGGTTTTAATCGATTAAAATCAAGTTGTATCGATTAAAATATTGTAAAAACATTTCACTTGACATTTTAAGTAATTTTAATCGGTTCTATCAAAGTTGTATCAGTTAAAAACTTGTTTGAGAAAGCTTTTGTCAAAATACTTTGTTTTTAATTATTAAAAACATTTTTAGAGGCATTTTGCAAAATCTTTTAAGTGAAGAAACCTCATGCAACAGAAATCTTTTAATTTTAGTATTAAAAATTTAAATTATATTTTATTAAATTAAAATAATTACAATATATTTTTCTACTTTGAGAATGAACAATATAATTAAACTCAAAATTGACAATATTATAATACATTTTTGAACTCTTTTGGATTAAATTTTTTTTCCTAATTTTTTATAAAGTTAATTTTAATATTTAAAAGTATTTAACATTTTGAATTCTGAAAGGTTTTCTCTAATAGCAAATTTAAAAACATAATATTCAAAAAAATAGTTAATGTAAGTTTTCATTATGATCGATTA